TTCATACCAGCACAGGTATGCCAACTGTCTGTGGTGGGACAGAGGGAGGGAGTACACTGCCCAGGAATGTTTGTCAATATTCAGGGAATGGTTTCAGCCAGCCTCCCTGTGATAGAGCACACACTGCCCGCATCCTCCACCATATGTGACTGTGGCTGGTGTTTATATGGGGGAATTTGGTCACTTCACACAACATTCACAGCACTCTCTTACTAACGTAAAAGTGCAGTCAAACTTCTAAACAGAACCCTGAAAGCAAATCTTCCCTATTCATGATGTGCTTCTATTCACAATATACTGACAGTACTGTATATTGTGAATATAACCAGCACAAGTACTTCAAGTGGGGAGCTGCGTCAGCATGCGTAGGCTGCAAAGGAACAAGTAAAAGGTTTATTCCATGCTGAAAGGAGAAGAAAAGAAACACAATGTTTCGGCTGTGGAGCCTTCTTTGGGTGTGAAGACCCAAAGAAGGCTCCACAGCCAAAACGCTGTGTTTCCTTCTTCTCTAACTGGCATAATATGACAATATAACAGGTCTACAATATACAGTACTGACAGTAAATCTATGCAGGACTGAAGGATTGGTGCACGTCTAACTGATAATGCTGCAGTTTGGCAGCTAACCTGTTAGTCATCAAGGTCTCTGATGTTTGAAGCACGCCAAGCCATGTTCAAGCTCCACAAGCACTGGTGATCGTCATCAAAACAGTGACATTTTGAAGTAGTGATTTCTAGGTACTGTACATGCAGTTCATTTTGCAACAGTCAAGCAGTTGCCTGAAGAGATGTAAGAAAATTGTGGTTGTCTGTATTCCAAGCAGGTTTATTGTATTATAATAGAGGTGAGAAAGTACATCAGGGATGAGATCTGTTTCTGAAGAGTATGGAGAATATGGAGAAAACACGCAGCATTTTATATACTTTTAGACTTAAAATTAAAACACATTTAAATAAAGGAAATGCAAGGTAATTAATAATTCCTTACATGTATATAGCACTTTTCTGGACACTCCACTCAAAACACTTTACAGGTAATGGGGACTCCCCTCCACCATCAACAGTGTGTAGCCCCCACCTGGATGATAAGCCAGTACACCTCACTGGGGAGGAGAACAGAGCGATGAAGCCAATTCATAGATATTGATTATAAGGAGGCCATGATTGGTAAAGGCCAATGCGAAATTTGACCAGGACGCAGGGGGAACAGCACTACTCTTTTTGAGAAACCCTTTGGGATTTTTAATGACCACAGAGAGCCAGGACCTCGGTTTTACATCTCACCCGAAGAACGGTGCCTGTTTACAGTATAGTGTCCCCATCACTATACTGGGTCATTAGGACCCACACAGACTGCAGGGTGAGCGCCCCCTGCTGGCCCCACTCACACCTTGGGGCGGAGCGGTGGCTCTGCGCCTGTGACTGGAAGGTTCCCAGTTCAAATCCCGCGGGCGGCAGAGGAATCCTACTCCGTTGGGCCCCTGAGCAAGGCCCTTAACCCCAACTGCTCCAGGGGCACCGTACAATGGCTGACCCTGCGCTCAGACCCCAAGCTTCTCTCCCTGTCTGTGTGTCTGTGTCTCATGGAGAAAAGCTGGGGTATGCAAAAAGACAAATTCCTAATGCAAGAAATTGTATAGGGCTAATAAACATTACCTCTTCCAGCAGCAACCTTAGCTTTCCCAAGAAGTCTTCCATCCAGGTACTGACCAGGCTCACACCTGCTGAGCCTCAGTGGGTTGTCAGTTGTGAGCTGCAGGGTGATATGCTTGCTGGCAAAGCTGATACCATCTACTTAAACCGATATCTTAAATATCTCAAAATTGTTCTTTCCTAGAGAGTGTAAGCACATTTTGGAACAGCAATATCTTTAGTGTCAGTAAAAAAGCAGACAGTTTGAACTGTTCACATATCATCATCCAGACATTTAATAAGATCAAATAAAATGATGATTTTGCTTTCAAGCATAGGAGTAAAATATCATTAACTGAACTATAAGCAGGTCAAGAAGATCTTTTTTAAAAAATGCTACAGTTGCTGACCATAGTGCTTTGAAAAGAAACTATGAAGTCAGTCTTATAACAGCTGTGTATTATTTTCTGTTGCCTCACCAGTAGCAAATGATGTGAACAATTGAAACCTGCTGCACTATAGGACCTGTTTGCTGAAAAGATGCTAATTTCATAAGACGGTTCTTTCTGATTCTTTTTTAATGATATTGGTCTGCTACCTCTGAAGACAGCTCATTTTATTTTCGCTGAAGCGTCTAGGAAATGAGTGAGAAAGCTTGATAAAGAGGTGCTGAACCAATAGCACACTGGGTGCCTGCTGCCATTTGATATAACATTAAAATGCACTCCTCTCTCTCTGTTTCTTTATCTGCCTGTAACATATTATCAAAAATGCATTGTACTTTTTAAAGGCAAATCAAATCGAAACAAAGCTGTCTAACGATCGGCACAGATTTGGGCTTTTTTCTTTTTACTTTTCAGTGGCAAATTAAGCGCTGCATGTTCCTTTCCGAGAGTACTTACACGTCTACAGCATTTGCATTTGTACAGTGTATTTCCAGTTGGCTTAAAGTTTCTTTTTCTTTGACGTCACTGAAAAGACATTGTTCTCTGTCTCTCTAACACCGTACCATTCCTGAACAGAAAGCTGTCTACTTTTGACAGCTCACTTGTCCATGTCTAAATGGTAGCTGGATTACTGTTTACTTCCTAGGAGGTAAACTTACTGCACACGCCCATTCTTTGCCATATGGTAGTTTCAATGAAGAGGTGTAACAGGTCTCATAGTGTAAAACAAGACTCATATGGAGAAGTCACTCCCCAGCTCTTTTTTGAGAATGTTCAAAATCCCCCATGCAAATGGCCCTTTTTTTTAATTTTCACGGGAAATGGGTTTGGACATCAGTTTCAATCCGCACTTCAACTGCATAAGTCATGATGTAAAGGAATTACATCATCTCCAAACCCTCATGACTCTGTCAATGTGAGACCTACAGCAGAAACACAGTTTTGAGATTTTTTAAGTCATCTATCTGTGCCTATGGCTCTTTTAATAGTGGAGTAAAGAGTTATACACAAATCTATACTCCCATCCTAATTCTAAAAGATCAGTTGAGTTGCCAGATTTTTTTTTTTAATTCTCTGTTTTAAAATATTTTTGATAAAGTACAAGAGAAAACTAGTCATGCTCAGTTGGATTCTCCTCTGTTTCTTAAATGAGGCCTTTTAACGGTAACACAACCATTCAAGTCTTAAATATAGATTGGTGTACATTTACCTATGTTTTACATTGACCATTGTCATTTTATCTATAGTATGTATACAGAAGGCTTTGTGTAAGATGCTTCCAGCTTCTGAGCCTACCTGTGTCAGCTCTCTTAATTAGAGAGGGGATCATGTGGGTAGCCAGGGTGACTTCTGGTATTCTGACCGAGACTGCTGTCTGATTTCATACTGTAGATATGCCTCATTGGTGCCTCATTATATTTGGGGAGAGATAACTGCTGGGATTTGCCACCAGTTAGCTGTGCTGGCTAATATGTAGTTACTATAACTGGTGGGGACATCTAAAAAGTGCAGGACCTTCTCTACTTACAATTAATTTTACATTGGATGTAGGTCTAACCACACTTCAACAATTAGAGAAGAACCTTCAGCTTTACAAATTTACACCTTACAAAAATCACAGCCCCTGGAATATACAGTATGCCAAAACGGAGGATCTCTCTGGTGGACTTTTGACCACCAATGACTTCCTTAACAAATATGAAGGCATAGAAGAGCTCATAGATTGTTTTGCAAACCCATTTTGCTGTCTTTAAGGCACAGTAGGATGTTAATGCATATCTGAAGTATCACTTGCTGGAGGTTACATTTGCATGTAGTTTACAGGTTATAGAGTGTAGCTAAAGAATTGTTGCACTAACAGCACTGGAAACGTAAAAGTTCAGATAAAAGCCATATACAGTAATTCTCTTTGTAATGAACATTACTGGGTATTTGGAATTCTTTTAGTGTGATGCCACACTATAGGCGAGCAGATGCTGTCATTATCAACGTCATTCTTAAATCTTCTGTAAATTCATATGCAGGTCAAATTGGACTATGAAATGTAACTAGGGTGCTTTTTCTCAAGCTTTGATTTTTTTAATTTAAAGACTCTGTGCTTGTCCATGGGGCTATCCTGCTTTTCATTGTTTGAGTATCTCTAATAATAAAACAGACATGTATGCAATAACAACAGCCTAAGGTGAGTCTGAAATTAATTACATGTATTGTTACTGACCTACTGTATGCTCATACAGCATAAAGATTTGTGCCTATCTCAAATGTTAATTGTTCTTATCACAGCTTTGATATATATTTTACACTAAACATTTTCAGCCAACTAGACTGCTTGGTTTTAGTTTTGGTTGAGATATTGAGATACTTTTTAACCCTTTCAATGTGCAGCACACGACTTTGTGGTCTAAAATATGAAAAGAAAACGTACATAAAAAAGGCTGTTCAAAAGGGGTTTAGAAAAGTGAAACCTTGCGTTCTCCAGCAGTCCCTTTTTAAGTTCAATATTTGAGTCAATGCGAGTATGCATTACATTTTTTTGTACAAAGACATTTGTAGAAATAAAAGGCCGTAGCTGGTTTTAAAGTAACACTAGTAATAAGGGGAAAGAATGTACGAAAGCTGCAAGATAGAAGGTACCTGAAAATAAGCCTGAGATGGGTTTAGATAAAAACCTCCAAATCTGCATTTTCTGTTTTATGTTCCGCTAATTAAAATGCATTACTTTTGCACCCAGAGCTCTACATGAAGTTAGTATTCATTTCTCATATTTTGCATTTTCCATGTGGTTAAGAGAACCTAGTTCTAACTGTTCACTACCCAAAACATAAGCATTACTGGCACACATATCAGTTTCCTCCTACTTTAACCACTACTGATGTCAGTGCAGACTTTTCCAAAACACTGCAGAATATATAAAGTCACCCATTAACTGCCATCTTCATGAACACCATGATTTGCAAACTTATTGCATTCATCGGTCTCTGCAGTGCTGGAGGGAATGGTGAGTATGCTGGTATACTTCACAATATGTGAATTCCTGAAAAGCAAATAGATTTTTCTTGTCAAATGCCTTGTACCAGACTTCCAAGAAAATGTTTCCTAGAATACCATTTTGCTGTTTTGGGACCATATATATTTCTGCCTTTTTCATAACAAATATATTGTATTTTTGCAAAGATTTGTTGCAGATAAGGCATATATAAAAATTGATTATATACTGTAATAACGTGCAGTTATAGCTTTATTTTTTTTCAGTGATACTGAAGCATTCACTGAGTGGCTTTCTTAAACTCTGCAATCTCAACATCTGGATGTACAGTATGCTGTAACTTTGTGTTCTGCAGATCTGTGCTATGATCAAACATGTTATGGACAGATTTCTGAATAATTCAACGATATGACACAGTGCATTAAACACTGACTTTCATTTTCATAAAGTATGGATGGTGCACGCTGGCTTTTAAATGTTTTCTATGATGTAGTTTTCTAATGCAGTGGCACTGCAAAGATGGAAATCACTGCTTGACCAAACAGAAGCACATTCACAGACTTTCACAGAATTTCAGAAGCCACCATTTCTGAAATGGATATGTACTGTAGCCACCGACAGAAGAGTGCTTTCCCAGTCTGAACAAGGAATTTTCTTTTCAGCATTATAAAATAACTATTAATATTCTATGTCCTAAGGAAAGAACAGATTGAGTGGACTAATTGACTTTACTTATGTCCAAAACAAATATATTTACATTTACATTATCTTCATGGGTTTCTGATACAATATCCATGACTACAACAGACGTTTTCAAGTTGAAGTGCAAAGGAATTTTATTACTTTTAGATAATCTAGTTTAGATGCACTAATGGCTTTGTGTTCTGGTTTACTATTGACAAACAGTTGGACCTTACTAAGGTACCATCTCAGATGGACACCAGAGATGTGAGAGTTTCTAAATGACCCTTTTCTTTGATGAAACAAGACATCCTTGACACTTCAGCTGTACAGACTTTTACCTGGCAAAGCTGAAAGCTCTAACATGAGAAGAATATTTGGCCAACGAAATTCAGAACTAAGAATATTGTCATTTTTTAACCTAATATTACCTGTCACTCAGCATGAATTTCTGTTTAATTATATTTTTTTGTATCGGTGCAGAATTGAATGTGAAAAATCTTTAAGATTTCACTTTTCTTTTATGGATTCACCTTTAATGAGTCTGCACTTAACATATAGAATTTACCGATCTTAATTTAAATTGTAAATTAAAATTGCATTATGTTTGCAACATTTCCTGACTATGTCAAATGCTGATGATTTCTTTAGTTTCAAATAACTGTATACGTTTTGTATGGCTTGTATGCTGAAAATAATGTGGTGCCATTTATTGCCAATGTAGCACAGAGGGTGTGTGAAGTGTGAAGGCTGAAGGGTTTCAGTTGACCCTTTCTGTATCTAGTTAACACATTAGAGATATTCTAGGAGACTATCTTTACCAGTTTCATTCAGAGCCAGTTAAAGCAAGGCTAATATGTGGTTTTGGAGATGAAGATAAACATCAGGGTATGACCCTGAGCTGGAGATTTTGCTAAGTAAAACCCAGTGCTACCCTTTCAGTTCCGCTGGCTTCACAAAAGTGTGGTAGTTACAGGAAATGAAATTGTTTGTGAATTCAAGATTGAGAGATGTTTTTTTTTTTGTTTGTGTGTATGTGAGTGAAAACAATCGCTGAGGAAGTTCAAAGTCATTGGCTCACTGTTGCCCGACTCAACGCCCGCTTGCGAAACCCGAAACTGAAAGGTGCGACTCTTCTCACGGGCATCTCGCTTTTCACCAACAGCCTTCAAGGTCCTCCAGCCATACCGGGTGGTAGCCAGCGATGGAGTTGTCAGGCTGAGGTGCGCCTTCCATTTTAACGGGAAGGGCGAAGAGCTCAGAGTCACGTTGTATCGTGGAATGGGGAGCGACTCTCTTGTGTGTGCCTCCTCTTTCTATCTCCCGAACTCCACCTTCGAGACGGAAGGGCCTGTAGTATGCAGAGGAGATGCCAGTAAGGATGGAGTAGATCTCACTGTGTCTGGACTGCAGGGTGCAGATACAGATCTGTACCGCTGCAGTCTGGAAATCATGTATCCACCGCCCTATCGACAAAGATACGGGAATGGCACTATCATCTACATTCCTGGTAAGACTTACAGTATTTATTTGAGAGTTCTTTGAATACTAAGGTTATATTGTATATCTAGTGTGCAGGTTGGATCTATGGTTGCTAGCAGAGAGCCTGCAAGACTCAGTTCTCAATGGAATGTGGCATCTTGCAGTCGAAACCAAAATTTGGAAAGCTGTCTTATGCAGAGATCTGGAAACGGAACAAGTCAACAGTCCTGTCGTAACTGTAGTTAAGTACTAACCAGCTGGTCCCAGGGAAAATTAGAAAAAAAAAAGGAAATATTCTTTTAGAAGTGACAGCTAAGGCTTTTTAAAGGTTGAAAAAAATTAAACAAAGCAGCTTCAAAAAGAGGAAACTTTAATATTCTCAAAGCATAATAAAGTAACGCTTTTTGGTTGCGTGGGAGTGTTCCAATTGATCATGAACCACAGCAACAGTGTGAGTTTTCATTGTACGTATAAAAGACGCTGCGCATACAGCAGAGATAAGGGCTTGGAAAATTTAGCATATCTTAAGTTATCTTAATTCTCTGTGGTTACTGAGCTGCCTTTTTCCTGTAAAGAAGGGGTCTCCCCTGCCCCCGAAATCACGCATTACATATCCAAATCAGACGTCATTTTGGAGGGAAATTACTTCTTTTTAAAAAAGGTTTGCAAAAGGAGGCGGATTAAAGAATTTAATGTATCCATCTGCCCACAGACACAAAATTCTTAGTATTTCAAATACTTTTTAACACTCTAATTTCTGATTACTTACAGAAGAAACAAAGTGTGCGGATCCTGTTGTTGCTGCTGAAACTGACAAGGAAAATATATTATTTTTTTTGCCTGTATCTGTGCTGGCATTCATTATCATCATGACAATTCTCATCTTGACCTACCGGGTAAGTCTCTTCATATTAACGCCAATTATGTACAGTTTTCACCCAGTGTTACAACCACGCATTGCACTGTCCAGTATTGCATTTATAAGTGATTTCTATTTTTTTTGTTTGTTTGTTTGTTTTGGTGATGTTTTGTATTTTAATCAGTACAAAATTAAAATGGAGACAAACTTTGTGCAGTTAACATATTAATCGCTTGTGGTTCTTGATGAGTTTCCTCTTTAGTATACTATACAGAAACTGACTTGTTTTTATATTTTTACAGATACTCAGTCTCAAATACAGAAAATCTGAATATGTGGACATGGCGCCAGTGATTTCAAGGAAAGTGGACTGTCAGTATGGATATGAGAATTTCTTGTGAAGCTGTTCTTTCTTTTTTTCACTCTTCTAAGCATTATAAAAATGATTTGTATTTCAAATTCATTTTATAATTCTTACGTTAACATTATATGTTAAGTCTCATTTTTATTATTGACTTCAGTGAGTCAGATTTGCAATGTTAGGTGTGATTCTGCAGTGGATACAGTTGAATGATTAGGTAGCATTTTTAAAAATGCACAATTGAAGAATTTTACATCTTTTAAATACAGGTATATTTATTGTTCTAACACTGCTGGGTGAAGAATGTCTACTTTGTCACAATCAGATTTATGGTTGAAAAGATTACTACAGTACATTATATGTAGAAAGACTCATACTGTATGTGAACAGTAGGGCCCATCTGAATCAATCCATTCCAGAATTGTGATGCAGCCACCTTAACTATGTAAGTGCAAATCAGCAGAATCAATATAGCAATAAAGGAATTGGTAGTATCAAAAGTCTGGAATGGAGCAGACTGCAAGGGTGCAGATTGAGTAATCCCAATTTAATGTATGATATTTTTTACATACCTGTATTTAAACTTTTCCCCAAAAATGACACTGTAATCCAAAATGTAGATTAAAAATCTCCTCAACCTGAATAAATCTGGTGCATAGAAAAAAAGCTAATTTCTTTACATTTTACAATGTTAAGAATATTGACACCAAAATCTGTGTTTGAAACCATGTTGTCTTTGGAATGACTTTTTCATGAAAGACCAGGCATATACAGTATTGTATATATTTATTATTCTATATATCATATATATGTGTGTTATAACAATAACAATAAATCAGCAGATGATTCTTATAATAATCCTTTCCAGGAGGAAGTATTTTTCCTTACCTGAAGATGTCAGTAGTAAGGCTGGACAATTTCATCCCAGAAAGGAAATAGTTACAGTACTGCTGTCTGCCAGCATCTCCTAACAACACAAGAAAATTGCTCGTGCTTATGAGTTAACACACTCATAAGGCACACTTTATTAGTTAAATCTTTTCCCAGCTAGATGGCACTGTGCTACTATTAACCTCTGTGTTCTTCTCAGTAGCTATTATACCTGATGCTTTTGGTATTCTGGAGAAATCCCCTTCTGAATTCATATACTTTCAGCAACAGATGTTCTTGCAAATACTATACTAATAACACTGAAAATATTGAGTTTAACTGTATGATAATACAGTATGACCAATGTTTTACCTATGTTTTTTGTATTATAATGTAAATATTGAAAAAGCATTAGATTGTTTCCTACATAGTTTGTGAAACGGTAATGCTTAATAAAGATGAAAGAAATTAAGTGTCTCTGCTTCATGTTCTCTTGTAACAGAATAAATCTAGAAAATAATGAGAATTTAAAAAATAAGGTGTTTGAGATGTGCCAGTGTGCAAGATGCAAAGGAACAAGTTATGTTAGTTCTGAAGAAGGCTGCACAGCTGAAACATCTTAATCTTCTTTACAGTTTTCAGTGTGGAATTAACCCTTTACTTCTTTATTTAAAACAATAATACTTAAAAGAGAAAAAGCAAAACATTTAAGGAAACTGCCATTGCTATTAATTTAAGTTGTGTATACAGTATTTTGCATTCAAGGCAAATAGGCAATATGCAAATCTGTGTTTTTGTACTGTAGAATTTGCAGCTTAATTAAAGATGTAAAGTTTTGATGAAGACAACAATTCTCACCAAAATTTTACAAGCTAATTTCCTGTATATTTAGAGAGAAAGAACGTTTTTTTTTGCTGTTTTCTGACTGCTTTGTCTTCTGTCTTAAGGCATTGATGGCAATCTACTGTATATAGAAATTAAGAGAAATACAAGGAAGGACAATACAATATTAAAACAAAATATCTGGAAAATATATTCACTTTGTAAACATCGAAATATTTTTAAAAGCAATGGAATTTGAATACATATGTATCCTTGCATATTTAAATCTACTTCTAGAACACATACTATACAGTTTTATAACTCAAGCTGTGGAAATACATGTAAAGAAACAACAAACACAACTTTTCGACTGTGGAGCCTTCTTTTGTGTTTCTTCAATTTTCAGCAGGGAATAAACCTTTACTTGTTCCTTTGCAGCCTACGCATGCTGACGCAGCGCCCTACAGTATTTGAACATAAATACATGTGTACAATAAGCATACATTTATTCTTAATTTCGAAAGAAATGCACAATGTTTCTCATGACTACACATGAATCCGGGTTGGATTTCTGTCAGCATGGACCAAATTAATCACATATGAACACAATCCTAAACCCTATGCTCTTTTACACTGCTTCTCGTTGCCAGTGAATGTTTTCTCTTGTGATTAGTGCATGCTGCTTGTGCGTTTCAAATTCCAGGTGGTACAGTAGAAGACACAGTTCCATTTATAGCATTTACATGCAGCATTTATACAGTAGATATGAGTATTGAAGAACCACTTCAAACCACATCAGTCTGCTCATGATTTTAAAGGAGTATGCACCATGTTTCATTTAAGGCAGATAGAGGTTTTGGAAGTTTGTCAATCCACACCTTATCGAGTTTTGGACATGAACAGTGAACAGAAGAGTCTGCGCACATCCATGCGTCATCACAGAAGTGTGAAGCTTTATCCCTGAGATTTGATCACAATACCAGACAAACTAGGTTAGTTTAGCTACGCATCACAGGCAAAAGTGTGTGAGTTATTTTAACCACATACTGTATATCAGTATTTGCATTGTCTGTTTTTTTAATAGGATATGCTGTGCCACTGAGAAAACATGTTTGTTCAATATGTCTAGTATTTACAGGACGATAAGTCATTTGGTGTAGTATCTACAGTACAATGGAGCTACAGTAGCTGTGTTCCAGTTCTTCCAGTAGCTGTGTTCTTGTGAAAATGAGAACCTTTAGTGATTTTCTTACTTTAGAACGTCATTTCCCTTTGTGGAAGGACACATGGCACCCTACCTCATTCCTCTGTCCTGGCAAATGTGTCTCTGGTCCCTCTCTTCCCTGGTTTTGGTACCAAGTACTGTATATCCTGCACATATTTGGCAAATATGATACAGAAGGTATATCACCCTTTGTGCTTAGAAATTGTTATTAAGATATTGGATCATTCTTTGAAAGGACTGAGTTTTAACACCTGCATTTTAAATTGAGAGGCGTATGTAATAATGTATTTGCAAATATTGTAATAAATAATTGTAATGGAGAGGCCAAGAAAATGCATTCCCTTCCTGTGCTTCAGTGTGAATGTTCATACTGTTGTGAAAAGACAATGGAACACCAGCATTCATACATGTAAGAGATCTTTTTTTTTAATGTCGCTTGCCTTACTGCACCAGAGATGTGTATGTGTTGGGCTCTCTTCACACTCCATCTTCCTCATTTCACTGATTAATCCAAAAACTTCAAGGTATGACATAATCACTATCACAGTCAGCCATAACTGTCTGAGCTTTAGAGTACTGTGTTGCCAGTTCCTGGCTCTCTGTGCTTGGAGCTTCAGATCCAACAGAGGCAGATTATCTGCTAGCTGGCAGGCAGCTTCTCTTTGCACACCATCTAATATTACTTTATGTTGCTTCTTCTTCATTTAATCTGCAGATCAGTTAAAGCTTCCCACACCTTTTGTGTTTTGTATCACAAGTGCTACACACTGTACGTCTGTGATGCTTGGCACACCCACACAATGCACAGAAAGCGACATTCTTTGCTACTTTCCATTGGATTTCATACTGAGATGCATCCTTTTAGAATAAATTCAGCTTTCTTTTTTTAAGTTGTGTGCTCTATTTTATTGCCCGCAAACAAAAGCTATATTTGTAACAAGGCAAAATGTTTGCTGCATTCTGATAGAGGGTCATGCAAAGCATTGTCAGTCTCAGGGCTACAGTGTAGGCCTTTTAAATCTGACAATCCCAGTAGCGTCAACTGCAAGGCCAGACTGAGAATACATGAACCCTGTCACCCTGGAAACCAATCAAGTGTGTCTTTGAGAGGCGAAAAGAAAAAACACAAATTATAAACGGAAATAACCTGCTAAATGGACACAAATCTACCTGCTTCTGGGCAGGTGTTCCCAGTCCTCATCCTGGAAGCCCTGACACCTGCTGGCTTTTATTGTAGCCAAGCTCTCTGTGACACAACTCAACCCTTAATTGACTTAATAATATGATTCATTTGCACTTTTTGTTTTCATGTCTTGTGAAGAAAGAATTATCTGCTGTGCAATAAACAATTCTCTAAGAATAACACTAACAGTAAAATAGAATGGTAAGAATAGAATAAGCATAACTTATTAGTATCAGCTAACAGTCTGAGCAGCATCCTCTCCAGGCATCTGTGACAAGGCAGATAGGTCAGGCAAGGCAACTTGTTTATTAATACAAAAATAATACAAATCTCGCATCTGAACCTTTAATATACCATAGTCGGTGTTATGTGTTGCAGATGGGAGACGGCCTGGAGAAGTATCGGAAAGAGGCTCAAGAGAACCTAAAAGAAGCCCAACAGGCCCAGAAGCGTTGGTATGACCAGAATGCACACCACTGGGAGTACCAGCCAGGTCTTGCTCCTGCTTCCCTCTGCAAAGAGTAGGCTGCTGGCCAAGTGGCAAGGGCCTTACACCATCCTGCATAAGGTGTCAGAGATGTCAGAAAGGGCATTCCGTGGAATGACCAGGAGAACAAAAAATACCCTATGCGTAGTGGCAAAACGGGGATAAGGCCTGGCTCAGAAGGTCAGACGATGTCGGGTAGAAACCTATGCCCTTAGGCCGTGAAGGAGATGACCTGGTGCTAGGTGAGTCTCAAGATACCCGATCCCTCAATGCTGAGCAAGGAGGAAAGGGTGACCCGGAAATATAATATAACCGGTTACAAATGAAGTTCATCACCCAGGCAAGGGGAAGGAAAACGTAGACGTACCACATGAACCTCATTAAGGAATGGAAAGAAGGGGAGTCTGCCACCTTGCTTATGGTGTGTAAGGTGGAGGAGAGAAAGGATGACTTTGCCGATTTAGAGACATGGAAGCAGCAGGCAGAAATGAACGTAAAACACCTGACTGTGGGCCAGGTAGCTGAGTTGCAGCAACTGTTTGTGGAGTTTCCTGCCCTGTTGGCACAGAAACCCGGGAAAACCAGCATCCTTCACCATGCCATTCACCTCAAGAATCCTACACCAATTCGGCACAGACCACATCGCGTGCCTGAGAGGGTAGCTGGAGTTCTGAAAGCGCAGATCCAAACCATGAGAGTTGTGGGAGTTATTGAGCCATCGTTCTGTTTTAAAATAACTCACTTGGGCACCCCTTCTGCCCTCCCTGTGACAATCCGTTTAAGATTTTCCATATTATTTACTGCTGCAAATGTCATCACACACATACTTACTTTTCAGCATCTTGGTCAAGATACATCTTTACCCAGAAAAGGCCATTTTCTTCAGTGTTCTGAAACCACTCGCACAAAGTGTTACAAAGCGTTTTTCAGGACCCTATGCAGACAGCAGAATCCGGAAGGGAGTGAACAAACACGGGGAGGAGACAAGGAACTGGGCTGGTAGGAGAACAGGGGGGCATGACGAGTGTGCACTGGTGCTAGGGAGGGCGTGGTCCAGGCGAACAAATCCGAGGGTGTCTGTAGGGAGAAAACCGTAGCGAAGTCCAAAAGCCATGAAATCCAGGAGGAGACAAAAACAAAACACAGTTAAAAGCCAGAACGGTGTCCGGTGCGAGTACGGGGAATAAAAATGGGTAACGGGACCAGGTGCTCCAAGTTCCGGACTCGGCTGGTTCAGGACGCTAATAGGAGGCGAATGCCCTCAAGCCGCGGACGTAGGGCGACTTGGTGGTAGGCAGGCCTCCAGGCGTCCGTCTTCCAATACTGAGCCCGGAATAGAGTGAGCGTCTGGCTTTTGTAGGGAAGGGCTGGAACAGGGAGCAGGTGCACAAAATCAACTAAAATGTGAAAGAGCCGGAGCGCCCTTAAGGGGGGGGGGATTACAATCATGACACAAAGTGTCACTCAGTAATTATTGACTTCAGCCTCAGAGCTCACAGTAGATTGCACTGCTAATGGAATGCACCCATAGTGTTTCAGTTCGTCCCACAACATTTCATCACAGAGGACTCTGGAGAATCGAATCAAACAGGTCTAAAGAAGTGAAAGGGATTGTAGGTCTGGCAAGGTCTGAAGATTATGCGTTATGCTTCATTTCTTTCTTGGATCTTTATACTGACTCCTACATAAGCAAGCCCCTTTTTAAAAAAAAGGTACTTAATCTAGGCTTCCTGTTGTTCTGT